AAGACCTATACAATTTTTTTCTTTTTGTTTTTTTTTCTTACATTGGAATATAAACCTGCAGGTTAACATTTTTGTCTCAATTTCTGAGGAACTTTGAAATAGTTGTAACCATTATTCTGATATAAGAAGATGATTTACATAATGAGTTGGTGAAAAGAAAAAAAAACATTTCAGAAAATGTTTATAGCACAAGGAATGTTTTCAACCTCTGCAAAACATTTCAGTTTTTGCTATTCAATGCATCAGTGTTCCACAGGTAAAAGTCATGTTAACACATAAAAACTGCAGCTCATAGTTGTCAGAGATGTGATGTGAGAACTTCTTTATGCAATGAGAGAGTTTTTTTTTCTTGGTCACAGTCTTTAAATACGAAAATTATTTACAAAATTTTGGGTTGGAGCATCTGTGATTGTCAAATCCATTCCCATGTGTCAACAATAAGATGGAAACAGAGGGAGAAGAAAAACAATATATGGGTTGGTTTCGGACCAGAAAGCAGCTCCAAAGATCTGCACAAGCTCAAACAGAATCTAGAGATGTGAAGTCTTTTTGATCCGTTTTGTTTACTAAATTGGAAATGACTGCTTCATTGTTTTTAAGGTTTTTCTTAAAGTATAAAATATGCCTCTAATCTCAAAGTTTGTGGCTCATTAGTGTGTGATTGAAAGCTCAAGATTAATAAAAAAAAAAGCACTCAAAATGTCGGGGGTCTTTTTACATATTGCATATATAAATTGAGAGTGAAATTTAATCTAGAGCAGTGTTTCCCAAACTTTTTGTCTTCTGACCCACAAAATATCCATGGCAAGAACTTGTGACCGCAAATATTACTGGTCTGAGTACACGAACTTCTTAAATAACCCTAAAAACACAGGATTTTGGACAATCTAAACAGCTTGTACACAAATATAAATACTTATTTTTACTTATTTTGTGTTTTTGTAATATTTATAGAGAAAAGATTACATCAGCAATTTTTTATTACCTTTTAAATTGATTTCTGGAGATTATCCAAGGTGCTTCATGACCCATTCCAAGCCCAACTTTGGGAACCAAAGTGCAGTGGTTCCCAAACTTTTCAGTTTTTGACCCACAAAAAAACAGTAACAGAGACTTGTGTCCCCAACTATGTTTGGATGATAAACATTTGTATCAGGTCAACAAAACAAGGGCATAGTAACAATATTTTTATACTACATTTATCCATTTTAAATATACTAACCTCACTCWMTTGTAACAACTAAGYKAAAAATGTKATTAATTCAGAAAATCTTTTCAGGACCCCACCTTGATGTTTCGGGACCCCACTTTGGGTCCCGACCCCAACTTTGGGAAACACTGATCTAGAGAACTCTAAATGGTTTTATGTAATTAAATATTTTTTCAGCTGCTCACTAAGTTTATGTTGAGTGTGATTTTGTGTAGCACTTATTTATTTCAGTAATACATCAGGTTTAATTTTTGCATTTTAACACGTATCTGGAAACACAGCTGAAGATGAAGAATTTTAATGAGAAGCAGCATCTCTTCTTCAGCTTGTGTTACCTTTTTTAGCCACAAGCGTTATGACAATGTGGCTGTAAAAGAATCCCATAATGAGCCCTTAAGACAACATGAGTTGGATCTTCACTTTATTTCCATAATAATGAAAGGTATAATATTTTGCACATCCTTTCCTCAGAGGTTAATAAAGAGAATTGGTGTTCAACAACTTCAAAGTGATGTTAAGAGCATTTCATTTCAAAGCCACTAAAGTTTCCATTCTTGTTCAGTAATTTATCTTCCATTTTATTCCTGTGTTATAGTATTTTTCATAAAAAGGTCTCCAGGCGAAGTCTCTCTCTCTCAGGACTGTGCCACTTTAACCAGTAATAGAGCTTAGCAGTCGTGCACACAGTTTGTGTTAGTTTAATCTTTACAGTCATTTGCTGTCTCTGCATGGAGATCATCTTCAACAGGTGCTAAAGCGTCTCTAGTCAGACGATCTCAGCTCTTTGCTTGTACTGAAACAAACACGTGACAGTTTTCAGAGTTTGAAAGACTTTAAAGGTGCAGTAAGTGGTACCCCTCACGTTGCTCTAAAGCCCTGCCTCCACAGCTCCCTACAGAGGAGTCTGTCACGAATGTCACCCAGGCTTGTGAACAGCTCAGCTCAGGGAGCCCGATGACGGCAGATAAACAGCCATGGTACATTTAAAACTCCCTGAAAGTACCAGTAACGTTAGCTTGTTTCTCCACCCTCAGCACGTACAGCACTCTGGCAATCTTGATTGACGGTACGTGCTTTAACCCTGCTAAGACAAGCCTCTCTTATTGGCTGTTTCTGACTGGGAGCAGTGTATTTCTGCAAATGGCTGTAGACCTACTGGAAGGAGCCAGAGGAGCTTTTTTCCCCCCCACAAATTACATCTCATACCCATCTGGACATAGGTTGTGTTCACACTACAGGTCTTAACGCTCAATTGTTTTTTGAGCATTAATATTTTTTGCCATGAACACTCAAATTATATAATAAATGTGACCTCCATCTAACTCCACTGTGAACTCTACATGGCACTGATGTGACCAACATACACAGAAAAAGACCTGCCATCACATTCAGCATGCTGTTTACAGGGTTAGCTAAACATGGATGTGACTTGTTATCGTGTCAATTCTGAAGTTGTTGCTCAACAACATGGTGGCGTGGGCCGTTTATTGGTTTAATGGTATACTGAGCATTAATTAAATAATCATCTGAAAGTATCATTCGAGTAGCTTTAGAATATATATGGTCCGGGACCAACGTTGGACATTATCATATGTTTCTATGGTTATCAGTCATCAAGGACGTAGAAAATGAAAAGAATAAAGATGAAAAATTGGACTTCTGTAGCTGAAGATGTGTGAAGTTACAAGATTTACACAATATGACTTCAGGTTGGAGTCTTTATCATATTGCTCACCCCCAACTCACAGATGAAAAAGTTGGATGTAATGCAACACGAGATTTCAGACTGCAGTCGCTTTGAAAAACATCTAATATGTATCCCGACCTGGGTCGTGTTTGAAAAAAAAAAAATCAGATTTGTCACGTTCAGACTGTCATGAAAAAAAATTGATATACTGTAGGTTGCATGGGGCAAAAAAGAAAAAAAACCATTAGATTTGAGTTGCATTGGCCTTCAGTATAAATGTGATCATCAGAAAAGTTCAAACAAACATTTATTTTTTTTTTAAAAATGTTACCTACTGTAGCTTTAACCCTAAATAGGCAAACTTAAACTTGCCCTGCCTGATTTATTTTTAAACACTCATTACAGAGCTGCATTAAATGTCATTAAGCAGTCAGAGGCTGTACAACATACTGAATCATTTCATACCAAGTAAGATGACAGGGTCAATAGTTTAAAAATTACTGCCAAGTGAAGCAATAAAAAGTCAGTTTGTCCTCTTTACTCTGCTGATAGATGGTAAAATAAATCTTGTAGAGTATTTAAATTAGACCTGAACTTAGCACAAAAGGTAAAGACATTTTATGTTTGATGGATTGTATTATGTAACAATGCTTCTTGACATTAAATCTTGAATAACCTAATTGTCAGCACCTGGGGGTCAAAATCTTATATCCAGCCAAAACTGTTTTTTTGATCTTGTTTTTAGACTGATTTACTAAACAAGAACTGATTGTGTAAGAATAATAGTCTTGTTTTCAGAATGTGTAAGATTATTTGTCTTTTTAGCCTAAAAATTTGACTCAAATTGAGTCAAAAATTTCTGCCAGTGGAGTAAGAAAAATTTACTTGGTAAGATTCTTCAAATAAGAAAAAATTGAGTCAAATCAAGTATTTGAAGAATCTTAAAGTAATTTTTTCTTGCTTTATGGATGATTTTATGGATTTAATTTTACATAGTACACTTGAATAAAAACAGTATTTCTGGTGTGCATGTATATCAGAAGTATGTGTAAATTGTACAATTCTGTCTGAATGCCTAACTTTTGATCAGGGAGCATACTTGGCAGATATCTAAATGTAAAATCTTTAAGTAAAGGACAGTAAAAAATGAGAAAAATCATTTAGTTTAACATAGTTTCATATCCCACTGCAACATCTATATTGATAAAATCACAAATCAACATGTCTCATGACCTGGACAACTTACTGCTTGACACCTCTGGTTAACAATTTTAATTCAGCATAGGGATGTTGTACAGGGCTTAACGGTGCAGTTAGGCAGAAGCAAATCAGCTGGAGTTATTCAAAGGTTTCGCAGTCCTCATGAAACTTCTTATTTTTTTCCATTTAAAGCACTCTTACACACACATAGTATTCACACACATACACAACAAAGTCAGGCTCGGGAAGAGATCAGAATGGAAATGAAGGGCAGGTATCACAATGTTTCTGCTTCCTCAGCATAAACGCATCCAGTACTAGGTGGCACATATTTCTGTATTTATGAAATCAGGAATAAAAAATTTAATCTGAATCCTCTTTTTTATCACTCACATCTGTAGTTTACACTGTAAGTGCTTAGTAAGAAGCAATCTGCGGTAACATTTGAGATGGTAATAGTTGCAAAAAAAATACTAAAGCTGAAAGGGATTCCAGCAAAAATACTAAATTACATCACATCTCTGAGAAGCACTTATCCCAGCAGAGCGATTGGGATAAACTGCACGGCTCTGGTTTGATGTTGGTCCACAGTTCACGCAGTTCAAACAGAATGACAGTAATCACGATCACCACTTTACTCGCAGAATGATAACAGGTTGATTGAGACACAAGAAGCAATCTACTGGAAGTTCAGAGGTTATGGTTGGATTGAGTGAATGGAGAGCTTGGCGTTGACAGAGGCACAGTGAGGGCAGTCGGTGTGGAGGTAAGGACAAGCATAAAGAGAGCATCTGGCCAGCCGCCTCAGATAAACAGTGACGAAAAGCCTGAGGGGTTACTGAAAAACACAGAGAGTGAGAGTGATCTAAGGATGGAGAGAGAGCAAAAGGGACAGGCACTCACGGGTACAGGCAGGCTGGACACCGGTCCAGGTAAGATCCGGTAAACACAACCTTGTGGTGGAACCCTGCAGTATGTGTCCCTGCTGGCACTGGAAGTCCACTCTGCTGCCCACCTGGCCACAAACAGACAACACACAAAGTGAGAAGAATCAATACTCTGATGCAAATGCCAATAGGCTCCCAGCTTCAAATCTAAAAAGCTCAGAGAGAATACTGCACGCTAAAGGTTTCTTCTCTCCTTCTTTTAACCATTATCGGCAGGGTGTGGAGGCAGATAGAGAGTACTTCTAAAGGCCATTTTTCATGTTTGTCTTCTCAGCTCATGCACAGACATTAGAAGTGGAGGGAGATTTTTTTTTTTTTTTTTTTTGCAAAAACTATGGGGTTAGACTGTCAAATTAGTTTTTATTTCAGAAGATTATTCCAGTTGACTCCTTGAAGACAACCCTGACAGATAATTTTTATTTAATGGTGTGAAAATGCTGATAAAGATGTTCAGTAATGCAAAAAAAAAATGCAAGTATTCAAAATAACACTTAATATTAGAGACTTTTAGTGGCGTTTTCAATCTATAAAAAATAGCGGGCCTCTAACCCTAACCCCTTTTTTATTGTCGTCTAGCTTGTCCAGCACAAACAAAAAAAACACACAAAAATGCGTGTGTGTGTGTGTTTGCATCAGAAACTGAGGAGAGCAGGGCTATGATGGAGTGAGCTGACAGCTGGGCTCGTTACATGTCTCGAGTTCTCAGCCCTACATTAGGAATTCAGCGTTCCACCATCTCAACACAACCACCTCAGAATAATCAAAAAATGACCTTGACAGCATCATAGAAGCAGTGACATTAAACAAACAGCTACACACCCAACTGCTGTGGAACACTCAGAGAAAAATGAGACCAAACTTTAGTTTTCTGAAGAAAAAAAAAGCCTCCTGCATCTCTCTGCTTTAAGACAGTAACTACTACTATTACAACACAGAACTGACCTGAATTTACAAGTTACTCATCAAGCAACCAATCCGTGAATGGTTCATTCTTTTTTTTTAAGTTACAAAATGAAATCACAAAAAGAAAACCAGTGTGTCATTTTTTTCCTGTTTACAAAACCTAAATGTGAAATCGGACTAATAAAAAATCCTCTGTGTTTGATTTTTGCTTTGTTTATCTAAATCCGAAATAAAATCTATGGTTGTTGTTTTAATATAGGGATACCGGAAGTGGCGCAAGTTGTCAAAGAAAAAGAGTTTCTGGAAGAAGACTGCTTAAAAACAAACCATTCCTAAGGACATTCCTATATTGATTATTTGTTTTCTTACTTTTTAAACGAAAAACAAAACAAAACAAACAAAAAATAAAAAATACAAAGAACGAACCATACATATACTGCAACCTTTGCTGTAGTAGCCATTGATCAACAATAACAAAACATCCTCTGTTAAACCAACAAAAATCTATAGAATACACACAGTATTATCAGAATTATAAATTTTCTTTACGTATTACAAAAAATAAAAGAAATAAACTTAAACAACAAAGAAAGAAATTATCATGGTTTGGTAGTTACAGCGGGTAAAATAAGTATTGAACACGCCACCATTTTTCTCAGTAAATATATTACTAGAGGTGCTAATGACATGAAATTTTCACCAGATGTCGGTAACAACCCAAGTGATCCATACATACAAAGAAATCAAACCATAAATGTCCAGAAATGAAGTTATTTGTAATAATGTGGAATGGCACAGGGAAAAGTATTGAACACATGAAGAAAGGGAGGTGTAAAAAGGCATGGAAAGCCAAGACACCAGCTGAACTCTCTCAGTAATTAGAAAGCAAGCCTGCCCCTTGTCAGTGCAAGTTAATATCAGCTGGTTCAGTCCCAAATGATGGCCAGGTATCACACAAGAACCATCTGATGATGGGTAAAAGTAAAGAGCTCTCTCAAGACCTTCACAACCTTATTGTTGCAAAGCATAATGATGGCATCGGTTACAGAAGAATGTCTAAACTTCTGAAGGTTCCAGTGAGCACTGTTGGGGCCATAATTCAGAAGTGGAAAGAACATCATTTCACCATAAACTGACCAAACTTGTCATCAAACTGGCAAACTTCAAATAATTGAAGGAAGGATGAGTGGAAAAATGCACAGAGACATTCTTGATAAAAATCTGCTTCCATCTACCAGGATGATGAAGATGAAACGTGGCTGGACATTTCAGCAAGACAATGAGCCCAAACACAAAGCCAAGGAAACTCTCAGTTGGTTTCAGAGAAAGAAACTAAAGCTGCTGGAATGGCCCAGCCAATCACCTGACCTGAATCCAACAGAAAATCTATGGAAAGAACTAAAGATCAGAGTTCATAGAAGAGGTCCACGAAACCTTCAAGATTTGAAGACTGTTTGTGGAAGAATGGGCCAAAATCACACCTGAGCAATGCATGCCACTAGTTTCTCCATACAGGAGGCGTCTTGAAGCTGTCATTGACAACAAAGGCTTTTGTACAAAGTATTAGATAAATTTCATTAAGTGTGTTCAACACTTTTTCCCTGTGTTATTCCACATTATTACAAATAACTTAATTTCTGGACATTTATGGTTTGATTTCTTTGTATGTATGGATCACTTGGGTTGTTACCAACATCTGGTGAAAATTTTGTGTCATAAGCACCTCTAGTAATATATTTACTGAGAAAAATGGTGACGTGTTCAATACTTATTTTACCCGCTGTATTTGAACCAATGTCCTGACAGACCCCCTCTGTACTCAGGTTATTAAACAACACTAACTTTCATTAACAAAACAAAATGATGTGGAGGCAGCAGGCTTCACAAATAGAACTCCTGGGGATTGGAAACGAGCACAGAACAAATGACTGACACATTCAGTGTGCAATGCCCAATTGAGGAAGAAACAAACCAACAGCGAATATGAAGACAAACTTAACGAACTATGACAACCAACACCTGTGAGGGGACGACCCGGATCATGTGGGAGTGGGCGGTGCAGGAGCAGAAACAGAAGAGCACAGAGAACACCGATGATACAGAAATACTCACAAAAAATCCTTCCTACTTGAAAACGAGAATATTAATCTAACAGAAAACACAGATTGTGATCACATAAACTTTGACATTTTCCCTCACCTCGATCATAACTCAATAACAATCCAAGTTTGGTTCTGGGACACTGTACTGTCATGTCACCATGTGTTACCATGGGTATAAAGCCATGGACGGTTCACACAAACAGTTGCTCAAACTCACCAGCAATGATGCTTCCTCATTAAAATCATATAAATCCAGCTAGTTTTCAATCAATATTGCTAATGCTCTGGATCATGACTGTCCATGGTAATAGAAAAAAAAGTTTACTCCACTTCAAAGCAGAAAGATTCCTGTCTGACTCTGAAGTTATCACAGGCTTTATGGTGATTTTTAGCAGCTAACAGTCTCAGTAAATGAATCATTTTCAATCCCAGTTCCTCAAAGTTTGTCCTGATCCATCCTGACCACTACTCACATGCTTTTCACATAATACTTCCAATCTTTTCAGAAAAATGTTTCAGTTCAGCATAAATAGTGCCATCTCCCCCAAAAGTAGACATGGAAAACCAAAGAGACTTTGTTCAGCATGCAAACAATTAATAATGTTTTAATAAACCACATCACATACAACTTGTGATTGATTTTACAGCTGGCTGGTGCTTTTTAAAAATATTTCTCTCCAGGTTGTGAGTTTTAAATCCACTTCAATGACAAAAGTACTTCTCCTTCAGTGCGCTCTGTGTTGGTTGGTTAACAAACTAATGAGTCAATCCCACTGGAGATTTTGATGAATGCTGTGATGAAATTGCATTTGAAGACAGTTACATACAGTAAACCCAGCCAAACTTTCATGCTCATCCAGCCTTTAAAAAATTAAATTCATTTTTAAAAATTGCGATATGTCTGCTGAGTACACATTGTTATATGTCTATGTTACAGCTTACGGACAGAGCACACACATCTTTAAAAAGCTTATGAGTGTTCCTGAGATTTGCACTTTATTATTATGGATATTTCAAAACAAAACGTGGCCCCTTACTATAAAATGCAGACGAAATCTTTAAGAGTCTTATCTGATTTGGCTCAGCCGACATGTGGAAAAATCAACCTTAGTGGTCAGTGTTTCTCATGCACATAGCCACACACCAGCATTGGCAGAGTCGTGAAGCAAGCTGCTGGCCTGCCACCGGGAACAAGTGGGAGTTCAGTGTCCCGCCGAAAGATGCTTTGACATGTGGGTGGGTCGACAAATTGAACTGCCAACACCGCAGCCCTGAGATGGCTCAAACTCAAGCAGCAGAGACGCGGCCAACTCACGATGGGTTCAGATTAAAGCATCACCGACGGTGACTGGGAGTTTTCTGATACGAATTAAAACACATATTTTGCATGAATTCATCTGAAAACTAAAAGTGTCTAAAGATGGCTCCGCTAGAATTAATCTCTTGCTTGTTGTACCTTAAAGCCTGTGGAGTAATTCATGAATCCGTGCTCGGGTGTTCCTGGATTCTCACATGTGGTTCTCGTGGGCTCTGGAACAAGAAACCATTGTAGCAATTAAGGGATTGCAGGAGAGTAAAAATAAGAACATTAAAAAAGGAAAATCACTCAGATTCATAAGGCCTTTTCTTTCATGAGTACCATGTAGCAGCAGATACTGGAGCAGAATCCTTGCACTTTGGATTTTGAACATATTTTCCAACAAATGACTCAAGCTGGTAAAACATCAAAACTGTGCCATAAATATGAACATAGATGCAAGCATGCAAGCATCTGCCACAACGTTATTACATACTGCTGAGACAGTTCTGACTTTAGTCATGATAGAAAAAAAAACCCAGAGGTTCTGCTGGGATATCTTGAATGAACAAGAGGTTTGATTGGCTTTCCACAGGTTGCATCAGATCCCATCAGATCAGTATCTTGAGAGTTTGAAGTTCAGGGGAATGCCTCAGACTCAGTGATATCACTTTCCCTGCCAGTGGTCAAAGTGTCACAGCTGCTCAGTGTCTCATTGCTGATAACAGCTGATTGAGCTAAAGCATATTTTAACTGAAGCAGTCTTGTGACATAAATATTAAATCTTGTGAGTTAAAGGCTGTAAGCAAAAAAAAGGAAATTGAAAGTGCTTCGCTTACATCTATGAAACTATTTGGGGCCATACAATTTGTAAAAAAAAATGAAACTGAAAGAAATAATTAGAAGCTGAAAAAAAGATTTGAAACTGGAAAATTATTTTAAAACTTAAAAAAATAAAGATAGATGAAACTAAAAAAGGTCAAAACTACTTGTCTTGACTACTTGCTTATATTTTATTTTTTTATTTATTTTTTTCAGTTTCAGTTTTTTTATGTCAGTTTCAAACTTCTGGCCATGTTTTAGCCTGCATGCAGAGCATCAGATGGGTGTTGTGCAGTTTTCACTGAAAAAGAATCTGAAAAAAAAAAAACTAGTTTTGAACTTGTTTTCAGATTAATTTTGTTTTGTTTCAAAATTATTTCTAGCTTCAAGTAATTATTTTTTTTCAGTTTCCAATCTTTCTTTTTCTTTTTTTTCCAGTTAATAAATGTTTTTGAACAAACGTCGTGGCTCCAATTTAGCTTAATAATATTCAATATACTTCAAACAATAATAAACATATATAAAAAAGAGTTATTTGTGAAATGGATGCACAATAACACTGAATACCTATGCATCGAGGTTGAGACCCACTCCAAGTGCCATCGTCCTGACACATGCGTGTTCCTGATCCCACCAGCATGTAGGGGGCGCTGCAGGTAAAAATGACTTCTGACTTAAAGATGAAACTACGTCCTTCTCTCCGTCCTCTGGCGGGCACACCGGGATCTCCACAGAACTTGGCTGCAAAGGCCAAAAAAAAGAAAGAAAGAAAGAAAGAAAAACAATAAGCCAACATCAAAGACAGAAGTTGACACATTTTCTCTGCTTGTATCAACACTCTTGCCGCATTATTTTAAAGTCAACATTTGTCTTTCCCACGTCATCACCCATAAGGAAACTGCAGATAGTCGACTGAATGGGAGACAGCTTAATTCAGAATTAATAAGCTGTGTGGGCTTCTGCTTTACCCGTGCATCATGATCAGACCACAAGTGCCAACAATCATTTTAACTGCCGCTTTCTTGTCTATGATAGGCTTTTACCATGTCTAATTTATTTGACTGTAACAATGGTTGTCTCTATGATTTGGAAAATCTTCAAAGACTGGATTATTCTAATTGCACTGACATTACACATGTTGTAGAACGTCCTGTGCATATTTTTTTTTTTTAATTACGAAGGCTGTTACATTGACATCCTTGTCTCGGGATGAATTGCCCCATCTAATAATTTTTTTTCTAGCAATCAACCTTGCTCGTGAGTCGTTATAGGAGGTACGTGAATATTCATCTTGGCAGCAAAGAGGGAGCGAGGGAGGTCATGGCTCTCAATTTTAGATTGGAATAATTAGCAAGTGAAATATTAATTCCACTGACGGGGCCTAGGGGTTAACTCAACCGGAACCATTCACTGCCACTGTTGCTCTCCAAGCCTCTTGTATGACATCACTTTTTTTTTAAATGGGAGTCCTGCCGCAGCCTCAGCAGATGTGGCCTGATGGATTTTCTCTGCTGCTCCTTTAATTTATTGCTTTATAGACATCTAATCAAACTGACCGGAAAATTTCATCTGGATGGGTTTGATGGTGGGAGAGTAAGCCATCCTCCAGCCTCCCAATGCAACTTTCTATCCATCTTCCCCTGCTTTATCCATCCATCAATCCCCTATGACCAGAGCGATCAGTTAAAGCTGCTTGTTAGCTGCTGGGGGTTCAGAAAGGCTGGCTGTGTGTGCGAGAGAGCAGAGGGGATGGTGAGAGTCACAGCGTTCAGTCACGCAGCCAGAGCACCGCGGGATCAAGCCAATAATGAGGCAGCTGCTTCTCCAGACCTGACATGTGCTGCTGCGAGAAGGTCTGCTGACAGAGATAAGTTCTCACACGCTCGCCTCCTACAAGTCATGAACTAACAGGGTGTTCCCTCAGCTAATCCTTGACATAACAGATATCTGGTGAAAAGGGAGATTAGAACATTCTTTTTTTTAAAAAAATCGCCATTACTTTATATAAATCCATCTCGAACAACTTCTTGAATTCAGAGCTCTTCTAGGGGAAAGAATAAAAAAATGTTTATCTGAATTGTTGATCTCCTCTTCAAACGATGTGCGTTCCGAAGCCCCGAGTCTGACCACGTTTGATGTGACAACAGATAAATATGCAAATATCTGTTTGGATGTGAAAACGACTGTCGTCCCTTTTTCAAACGGCACTCTGAGCTTTAGTATTCAGATAGTATTTCTTGAAGGGTTGACAATGCAGGCCAAACAGGTGACATGCACATCAGTCATAAGCTTCAAGCTGCAGGAAAATAATGTAGTGTTTTATGGATATATAAGAGAAATGGCCCCAGGCCAAACCAAGCTCAGCATATTTAATGTCCCGGTGCGCGCGCGTGTGTATGTGTGTGTGTGTGTGTGTGTATACGCATGTGTGTAGAAGGAGGAATGAGATGGAGACAAGTCAAACTTTTTTCTCTCAGTCTCTTTTCCACTGCCTCTCCTGTTCCTTGATGAATTATCAATGCTTTGAAGTCATCAGTATGCAGAGGCCAGATTCAAAGTTGGGATCACAGACTTATCCCTGCAGACACGTGAAACCAGCATTCTCAGACACAGAATTTAGCCGGTTTCCTCTGTGCGGATCCGGCGAGTGTGAGCGTGCATCTTAATCGCGTTTGGCTGCAAATTACAAATTTTAAGGAAAAAAAAAAGGGAAGAAGAGGTGCGTTTACCGACTCGCTGCACCTCCCACTGTTTTGCTGATCTGTATTTAAGCTGAAAGTGCTGAGTTGAAGATGAATTGCCGTCATTATTTCTGAAATATACGGCGGTGCAGCTTTACTGTGCGCGCCGTAAACAGGAAGAAATAGCAAGGCAGTGAATTCCAAATCATTCTGCACTAAACAAAATTTAATAAACTTGTCAAGTTTAATTTTCAGCCGTCGTCTGTGACACAGCCAGAAAGGAATCTGCTTATTCGTCTCGTTAGAGCTATAACCTCGTTGGTTAATGGGAAATATTTCAAAAATCCACAACACAACATACTTTCATGTTGGTTTTCTATCAGCTGTCACCAAAGGGGGCAATGTTGTCTTTGCCTGTTTCTGGTTGTGTGCTCAATAGGCTGTAATATTAGCAAAATATCTTATGATCCACTGGTTGGAATTGATTGAAACTTAGTGCCTTACATTAATGGCCTTGGCAGGGGGCTTGTCAGACAGGAAATGGTAAAGCGTTGCATTAGTAATGGTGGATAACGGTATGGGAAATGCTAAAACTTTCAGAAAACAGTTTTTAGGAGCACATCTACATCTACTGAGTTTGGGAGTCAGCCAATACAAATTATCAAACTTCCAAAACATAAAAAATGCATTTCCCTCAAACAATCTTACAGATGGTTAGCTAAAATTTGCTGTGAAAGAAGGGAAGAGTCATTCCCAACACTTACTCTGAACATTAACTGATTGTAAAAACCCTTTTTAAAATGTTGCCATTAACCATTAGTATAAACTTTATCATCAAATTTTGAACTTCTGGATAGATTTTCGTTAAACTCTCAAAAAAATAATTCTTCAATGGTCAATAAAAAAAACCCTTTAGCTTTTGGGGTCAACCTAATTCAAGATGGCCGCCACAGATAATTGACCTAAGCCAGCACAAATAAATAAATGAA